ATCTAAACGTAAACTTAGCGTGTTTTAAATAGTATACTTACAATAACAGACTCTTTACCTGCCATAAGGAGTTTGTTATTGTAAGTACTATTGAAAAAAAACGTACGAGTGTTTTATTATACTTTAAGCGAGTGTGCAGCACGAGCATTTTAGATATGGTAAAACAAGACTACAAGTGTTTTGAATAGCTTCAAACACGACTGCAATAGATGCCGTTTCATTAGTATTCTTTATATCAAGAATACTAATTAGGATGGACTTTTATATAAAAAATACTAATGAAGATGAGTTTTATCAGGTATAAAGCCTCTTCACGTGACATATTAATTTATTATGGTTGACATGATTTGCCAAATAAGATTATGAATTATTAGAGTTTGAAGTATATTTACATTCGAAGTGTCCAATCAGAAAGCTACGTTTGTGCCACGTGAGCACTAACTTTATCATCGAACCACGCCTTGTTTCATCGTATTTGACGCAGCGTGTTATTTTAATCACATCACACGGATAGTTTGATCGCTTCACCAGCTTGATAGGATTCGCGTGAACCACGCGTAGCGATCAACGCAAACTGAATTACTGAGATTTCTTTAAATATTGAAGAATGCTCTTTTTTATTGAATATTTTAAGGCGGCTCCATACACTTTTCATAATCGGGGGACTGGTACCTAATCTTGAGTTTTCGCGCGAAAACATTCAAAATATATGCAAAAATAAATACAACTTTTTCAGTCTAAAATCCGAACCACAAGTCATGTTTATTTTGATGTTTTGAGTCTTCCTTGTTCTCATTTGTTCTCAAAGAACAAACTTCGTCCTGATTTAGCCCTGGACATTGAATAACTAGTCTTTTTAGAAGACATTTTAAGGTAAAAAATGCAATGTTCAACGTTCAAACTCTTGTGAAAACCGGCGATCGCCGATCGGCCGCCCGGCGAAAAGTTTTTTACTCCAATATTTGGCGATTTATAAGTTCATATCCAGATTTTTTGTACTTACAACTGGTAAATGTATTCAACGTGTTACTAACAGCAAAGGAATTCAGTGAAACAGCATCATGTCCGGAGCGGGTTGATAAACCATAAAAATAGCATCACTGATGATTACCTTGGCACACCAAGAAAGCCCATCCATTCCAACTTGCCTCGGTTTATTCTTTGGATATTTGACTGATGATGCGGTAACAAGATCACCTTTCATTTTTTCAGGAAAGGCAGACAATAGCTGGTTTTGGCACACTAGAGAAAAATAATTAAGCACATGATGCATGCTGGAATTAAAAACAAATTAAAGAAAATGACCAAAAACCGATCACAATGGTATCAAATATACAATTCGCATGCATGCATGCATAATCATCAAACATTTTGACTGCGTAGTCAACATCATGGACCTCCCAGATAGATTTGATCTAAAATTTCTAAAATTTATACATATAATTAAAGGTGTGATATGATGATCTAATGTCGGATGATAATGTCAAATATTATAATGTAATATGGGTTTCCTCACCGTAAGGACAACCATGAAGTCGTATTTTCATACATATAAGCTCCCCAAACCAAGTGACCGGGGTAATTGATAGCCCATCTAATGTGATAGGATGCTTAAACGTCTTGGTGTTAACAACAGCACCGTGTTGGTTTCCTAGTATTGTCTGCAACATAAAAATTCCAAAATGACCATATTAGAGGATTGCCAAGCGCGTGGGCAATGCAGTTATATAAGTTTCTAGTTTTTATTATTTTAATAGCAAACATTTCCACGACAGATTACTGATGACACCTGATGAGAAACTGACTGCACACATGCATTGCGAATATGTTCAGAGATTTTGCCAATGGTGTATAGTTGTGACTTTCTAGGGTTAGGGTTGTCAGGATTAGGATAGCAACTGAAGGCCGCCATCTTGAATCAGGCCTGGTTATAGGGCAAAGTGAGGCCAAAATCAAGTTCATGCAGACGGTATATTCCAACATTAGAAATCAAGCAAATTGTGAAAACTAACCAACCCTAGTTTTAAGCCGTCTGCAAGAAAAAATGTTAAAGATTTGTTTTCACAAAATTGGCCTATTAAAAGGGTTACAGTCGTTTCACTTACTGTGCGTTGATTATTCTAAACGATGTGATTATGTGAAGGAAAGTTTGAATTAAATTTTTTAATTAATTTCAAATGTTTCCTTGTATAAATCACAGTACAGAATGTAGACAGTAGAGAAGTTAAGATACCCCGGTATCGGTGTACAGGTACGAGTAGTGTCATCTTGTTTTACTGATGTCTGTAATTCAATCATACTTTTTCTGTTTTCTTGCAATAGACAATGATATAATGCGAAAAATGTGCACCTTAATGACGAGTAAAGGTACAGACATCGACGAAAATATTGCTAACCAAAATCATGCTACCCGTACACCTACACCGAAACCGGGGTATCTTAACCTCTCTAATGTATACGTTTGAAAGTTAAGAGGATCTTTCAAATCGTTATTTCAAAAATTTCTCTTCCGCATTTTGTCTTGTATGCGTAGGTGGTATACGTAGCAGCGGGCAACAATCTTCCACCCTCAGCTGTTCGGCGGGATCGATACATTGCATTTATAATGCGGTTAAGGAAACATTGCGCATTGACATCATTGCCAATAAAGCGATAGAGTGGCGTGTCGGGTCATTGTTGCCAGCATTGAGAATTTATATACTTTCACTTACAGTATGATAACCGTCCATGTAGTATGGTCGCCAACGTCCATTTCTTTTGTAGTCAATGCGGAACGACTTCACGTAAAATAATTGGTGGAAGTCAAGCATTTTATCGTAGGAATCTCGTCCTTGAAATGAAATTGCTGTAACACGGACTAACTCGCCAAGATCAACCTATAACGAAAAGAGCAATTTAAAACTGTGGCATATGCCCGATATGGTTTAAACTGCATGAGCATGTAAAACTATAAACAATTTGCACCATGATTTTTGCAGTCCCAGACGTATTGTTTGTACACCAAGTAGAATCGCACGCTTTTTCGTCAGTTAAAATGGCTTTATTTACTCCATGAGTGCCATAAGCATCAGTTACTGTTACCATTGAAGAATTTATAGATATCACTGAGGAACATTCTGAAAGAGAGAACTCTAATTAAAATTATAGGGATTTGACGAGACACATCATACGTGCATCCATTCTCAGATATGCGTTTTGTATATTGGGCGTCTGGTGTACTGGCCCCTCTATGGTTACTTTCATTTATTTCTCAAGTTTTAGATATTATCGTTACTTATATGAGCTCATTCTTTAGTATGGAAGCAGACTTGTTCGCTGAGATGAAGTTATGTTATCTTTTGATTATAACGTATCCTACCTAATTTCCGCTTGCACATGTACCGCAAACTGGTATCGCACCGTGTTGTCTCCCAAAGGCCTGTTTTTGTATGCATTTTCACGCAGTTTTCATTTACTTTGAACTGTTTAGATGAATTGGTGTTCCAATTAATATAGTCCAAAGGAGTCTTGTCACTCCACGTGTAACGTCGGACAAACTGTTGATCATTAAGACCTTAAAAATAACACCATGCATATAAGATCATTGTTAAAAACGTTTAAGTATTACATAGTGAGCAGCCGAGACCCAGGGCCTTCTATTTAATTATATTGCAGATAAGAAGATTGGAACCTAGGCAATTTGGAGGCGGGGCATACGCTTCGTGACGTCACAAAATCGACTAACATGCAAATCAACTACCACCTATAACGCGAAGGCCCTAAGTCTAGGCTGCATAGTAAGTAGTAGAGATAAAATGGCAAGAATCTTGTCTGGAACCACTTTCATTATTTATTCTTTGAATATAATGACCGCGCTAGTATTGTCAGGTTAGAACTCCTTCACTGTTTTTGTTTCCAATACTTCATACAAACAGATGCAGCAGATCATTTCACGATACGGTCAATTTAATGATTTTTATTGCAAGTAATATGTAGCGCACGAGAATAAGAAGATATAACGAAGTAAGATATATATAATTTGTATATTAAGTGTTTTATACACCATTAAATAAATACCTTTAGACCCCGTTTACACGGTACCGGACGAATTTGGGACCGGTCTGAAATTCGTCCTTTTTCGCCTGTTCACACGCGAATTCGTCCTGTTAGGGGGCCTCAAATTCGTCCGGTTCTGTGGTTCTCGTGTGTTTACACGGCCGAAACGGCCGAATTTCAGACCGGTCCCATATTCGTCCGGTACCGTGTTATTTCCTGTGTTATTGGCATCAAAGAACCTAACAACGGTAACAGTTGCAATATTGATGAAAACAGGATTGAACAATGTTGTGCGGCCCACATTATTCACAGTTGTCAACAATATTGTTACACCCGATTCAGGTTCAACAATATTGTTCAATATTGTTAATTGACAAGTGTGAACAATGTGGGCCGCACAACATTGTCCAATCCTGTTAAACAGCAGGCTCATAATTTTTACCCGTGTAGACTTATCAGACAAGAGAAACTGTCTGGATACCGGAACTGTGTTTGGACATGTGTTGTCTACTTGTCTGCAAACCAGGCGTGTCCGCAAAACGGAATTGCGGACACTGTACATGTGCTGAAAAGTACAGAGATTTACGTGCAGTAGATAGGTAAATCAGTGTTTTGATTGGTCGGACGACTTTTTCACATGTGACTTTTTCTAATGTTTCGCATATAGCTTATATAATTGTGAAGACTGACTCGTGTGTTTAGCGATCCTTCACAACTCGTGGTTAAAAATCGTACCCACTCACCGACCATAAAGTAATCTGTATGTATATGTTGGGAACTTTATGGAAACCGGCAGCTACTACTCTCCTGAAATTGGAATTATTGGGAAGCTGTGCAAGATATTTCATATAACGTACGTATGTCTACCACGCTACTCGTATCAATAAATAAAAAAAGTGGATGAAAAAACCCCAGTATAAATCAACCATATTTAATGATCATTGAAAGTGCCCTTTGTTCTATTTTATCCGTACATTATCAGAGCATGTACGTAAGCTATCAGAAAATGTGAAATGAGTGCAGAGACATGCATAAATATGTATAGGTAATCATGCGATGACGAGTACAATTAGGGAATAGTACGAGTGATGTTTGGAAATTTTGCCAAAATTGGACGAGCCGCCGGGGCGAGTCCAATTTGGCAAATTTCCAAACATCACGAGTTTATTATTAGCATGACAAAATTGGATACTTCTCAATGTCAACATCATATTCTCTCGCCAAAGCCCAGTCCAGCCAGACCTTCAACCAAAATTTTGTGCTTTTGTTCGTATTTTCATTTAGTTCTTTTGTTAAAGCAAAATTTGGTGCTTTTGTTCGAATTTTCATCTAGTTCCTCTTGGGCAATTTCAGTTCACATTTGTGTTCAAAATACCTTTCCGCCATTTTGTTTGTTTTTGGAAAACCATTAATTGTACTGCAGTACAATTAATGAAATAATTGTACTCCTCTCAAACAATCAGCATCCAGTAATTTTGTCATGCCAATAATAAGTGGCGTAATAGTGTGTAGCAATGAGGACCACAATTTTATTGGCTTTTTGTAAACTATTAAGTTTAACCCTCTCTAAATAAAGACTTCACTGACTCACATGATTGCCCATTATGGTACGGGCAAAAGAAATAACTCAGGGTGCAAATATCGAAACATTTAGTATAGTAGACGTTTACTATATACTCGCAACGCGAGTACAGTATATAGTTACATAAAAATATATCCGTGCTTAAAAATCACTTGAATGCATGGTTATTACCAACCTGTCCAAACTAACGTGACGTTTCTGTTACGATAGAGATACATCAGAAAGTCTTCTTCTCTAAAAGTGTGGATACTCACTAGATTTGCACCCAAACGTGCACAGTTAAGCTTTGCTTCTGCCCACGTTTCAACATCATCAATTTGCTTGTAACAGTGTTTATCATGTTTTAGCCAATCATTTGGACAATGCGCATCCACTAAATAAAAAATGTATTGTAAAGAATATATCACAAGACAAGCATATTTTTCATACCACACCATTTTATAAGCTATTGTAACATCTGTAATATTATAGAGCAGCCATAATTCATTAGTTTATAACATTTATTCATGATTGATTACAGGCGATAGTCTGGTAATAACAACTAATGAAATACGTGTGTCTATATATTATAGCCTACGGGATTGATTAGGGTATCAAGTTACTAGCTTACGTCACCATAGGCAGATACGTTTTTGTGCATAGTTCTTGTAGAACGTTTAAAGAGATTAAAGAGCTATAGACTTATTGAAAAGATGGATGAAGCCAGAAATTATGGAAATGTGCATACATATATCAAGGGAACGTATAAATAATCTAATCTAAGTGGCGTAATTTATGTTCTGTTTATAAACTGGCAAAACTATTCCGATAATCCGATCTGAATATTGTAAAACAAATGTGTCAAGCTAGCCTTATCCTTCGGAAAGATGTGTGATACATCAGAATTGTGTGATACGTTCAGAGTTGTGTGATACGTTGACAAAAAGGCAGTAAGATACTATATGTTGCTTTTATGATCATTTCAATCTTCTCTATTTTTTTGCTTTCTCTCAGAAGCAAAATTCAGTCGTCACTATCACCTTTATTTTGTCTTTTTAATTTACTATATACTTACATGGTATTGTGACTTTTGGTTCTCCTAAAACATATCAAATTGCATTCAAATCAGGATTTAAGTTTTATGTCACGGGCATAAATAAGAAGAACATCCTCCAGATATAGACAAGGGCGAACTGGACTTGCTAAGGGCAGGGCGATTATAAGATAGGGTAACCTGAGATCAGGCTCTATTTTAAAAAATAATATATTTATTTATTATTTATTTATTTATAGACCTGATCGCAGGTTAAAGATAGGGCGGTGAAACGAGCATTGGCGCCCTGAAATATGTGTGATGCACGGACCCCCCCCCCCCCTCCCCGCAGATTTTTAAAAACATTCGACGGTAAAAATGGTTAAAATAATTTTTGGTCCTGTTATTCAAGAACACTGATAAAACATCACTGAGTCGTTTAAATTCGAACCACTGGAAAAAAATTTGAAAATCCATAAAAGGTCATAGAACCGACATTGTATGCACCTTTATTGGAAACAGAATGGATTTTGATCATCCATAATAATTGTATATATTTCCATACTATGGATATAGTATTGAAATAGTATGGATGTACTATGGATTTAGTGGTGCAATTGCGAATTTAATAGTATGGATTTCACTATTTTCCCAGTGTTCCATGCGATGTTTGAAAAGATGGTTGCGTTTTTCAGTTTTTGCCTGTACTTACTCAGTACTTTTTGCCCATATACATGTACTATCCGTGTGGTGCAGTTTTTAAGAAATGCAAGTGTTTGTTTACCTTTCTAGTTAATTCGTAATAACATTTCGCAATCCGTATTCGCCGCGAATTCGTAATTTTCTCACTTTTTTGCAATGTTATTGCTCGGCTTCTTCTCAGTTCTGTCATCCGATCGAATATTTGATTGTCATCCGATCGAATATTTCCAGGCCGTACGTGTTTCAGTCGCATATCGTAAAAAAAGCTCAAAACGTTAAGCCGGCATATTGTTACCGATGAAAGATCTATTAATGATGGTAATAGAACGAATAGGAGTGCTATTAATGCCATAATCATACGAGTGATTACAAAATCAACCGACCGCGTAGTGGGAGGTTGATTTGTTAATCACGAGTATGATTATGGCATTAATAGCGCGACTTAATTCGTTCTATTACTTATTAATTATTTATCTTCTGTAATCAAACTGTTTAAGGGAGAAAAGTACAAAAGAAATGAATGTTTAATCAATGTTTGTAAGGATAAAGATTTGTCCTGACTTACATAAACTTCAGCTTTGATTTTCTCAGCTTAGACAATGTTTATTTTTAAAATTACTTCGCCAATGAACTCATAAGATGGGTCATTTATTAAGTACGATAAATATCAGATACAGATCTATCAGATACAGATCGGCTGCTCATGTTTTATCTAGTACATAAACAATTTTAAACTACAGTATACTTTTGTTAAATCAGCTTCATAAAAATACTATATCTATGTTACCTTTGTAAATTTCACAAACAAATTGATTAGTCGTGCCACAGTCCACGTCATCCCAAACCCCGAGATTGGATCTAGTGACATTTGCTTGAGTACAAGATCGCTGACTAATTTGGCGATTCGGTTGTCCAGGTCCCCAGTTTGTGTACACGGTTGTTCTATGATCGACAAACTTGAATACGGAATATGGTTCATGAACGAAACCAATCCATACATTGCCAATATATCTTTCTAGCAAGTAGACAAGAACAGCTAGAAAAAAACATAAAAATAATGTACATGCGTAAAACGAACAACCTGTTCCCGGTTAACATTGGCAGGCTTCAACAAGGTTGTCCTGCACCCTCAGAACAAGTTGTCAGCAATGGTGTTATTGTAATATACCTTGTTTAATATGCGTATCGACGGCCATCAAATCTGCAGTCTCCCTTTGGCAAGTTTTCCTCGCCTCATCGAATGTTTTACAACTGTTAACAAACTTGTAGCAGGAATCCTTCAAGGCCTTGTAGCCTTTCGGGCAACGGTTAGACTCTATAGAATATCAAACATACAAAAGGAATGTAACTATTGGACAGGGCCTCCGAAAGCAGTAGGGTAGCCCTCCGGCCTTCGTCACCCATGACTCCATGAAGGATTCTTTTCATACTTTGTAATTATTTCTTTCTTGCAGAAGCAATTACAACAACCTTATATTATCCGTAACAGTTTGTTGTTGCATTGATATTGTCCATACATCAATGGGAACAAAACCAATTCATTAACACTTTAATTGCATACCGAGCAAATTAAATGTTGTATCAAAACAGGGCGGATGAAGTTGTAAAACTTATAAAGTGCATTACAAAATCTCAAATTTTTAAATGCATTTTGAATTTTGAAGATGTTCCCCCGAGGTGTCAACCCGTTCAGACCCCTTTTAGTACGGTGTTGTTGGAGATCGGTCACCATGCACATTTATAAAAAAACCTTTTAATAACGCCTGCGCTGATTGGTTGAAAAGCGAAAAAT